ACCAGAAGCCAATTCTTTTTATCTTTTACCCTCTTATTATTACTTTCTTTAATTTATTTGATATTTCTTCAAAAAAAATTATGAGAATGTTTACTGGTACGACTGCGACACCCACGGATGTGCAAGAGCTTCCTTTGCAGTTGGTCGTTTTTCTGGATTGATCTCGAGTAAGCTCGAAAGGAAATCAATGAACCCGGAGTCGAAAACCTGCAAATGATTCTCCAAGGAGGACTCTTCAGGGATGATGAACTCCATTTGATCATTTTCCTGAAATGAAAATTCTCAAACGTTCTTAAAAGAGAACATTATGCTCAACATTTCCTAAGGAAGTTTGAAACCAACCTCATTCATATAAAACAGATCATATTCTTTAGTGAAGTATTTGTGTGTCTCCTGTCCTTTTAGGAGCATCTCCAGGTCGATGGGACCGAACAACCCGATCATGCGGGCAAGGATCATTACAACTGCATCGTTCGGAAACAATACCTGAGAAGGCATAGCAGCTCGATCAGTTTTGCTCAAAGCGGAGTTTTATCTAGATGAGAAAGAAAAGCTTACTTCTCCGGACCATAGCTCAGCCAAAATACAACCAAGAGACCACAAGTCGATCTTCGGATCATACGGGAGGCCTAGAATTACTTCGGGAGCTCTATACGATCGAGACTGCACGTATAGGCACAAGTTATCTGATTGAAAGCAACTGCTTCCAAGGTCGATAACCTTAATCTCGCATCGTTTGTAACTTTTAAGAAGAATGTTTTCTGGCTTTAGATCACAGTGAATGATTCCCAAATGATGCAAGAACTCCAATGCCTCCAAACATTGACGTGTAATAAACTGTCGAAACAAAATCGATATACTTTAATCTAAGTTTCTAACTCGAGAAACCACTCCGCTGTCCTAATCTAAACGAACATACCTGCAATCTATGAAATGTAAAATAAGCATCTCCACCAGACTCTTGATTGAATTTTTGAAACTCGTACAAGTTCGCTCGAAGTAGTTCACAAACAATGAAGAGATGTTCCTGTCAAATTTGCATTACACGAACGAGTGAGTCTAGCTAAAGTATACTCAAAAGTTCAAACAAAGGAGAGAAACAGATAAAACCAACCTGATGGTAAAAGTAGTCGTAAAGCCGTAAAATGTGACACCGATCTGCAGGGTCGTGTTTGTTGACAAGCTTTAGAAGTTTGATTTCGTCTAAGCTCTGATCGAAGAAATCTTTGTCGTTTTTTATGATCTTTAGGCAAACATCTATGCCCGTCTGTAGATCGTGTGCTCGAATAACTTTACTAAAAGCGGCCGATCCGAGGTACTCGGTTACATAGTATCGGCCTGCAAGGACGGTATTTAGCACAATAGGAAAATCCTTGCTCTCTTCAAATCCAGTCCTGTATATTGCATAATACATGAGAACAACTCATTGCTACATATCAACCTGCAACACACAAGCTTTAAATATCTATCAAAGCAGAGAGCAGAAAGTGAAGTTCTTTGCAACAAATGTCACTTCACTTGAATTAAACATCTATAGATAGCTAAAACGTAAGAGCGATCAAGTGCCTAGTCGTTTAAACATGGTTTCTAGACATCGTTGGTAGCTCACCTGTTCTTTCTATGTATAATTCTCAGATCAAATACTTCAAATTCATCGTCGTTGATACCACACATCGGTAGCTCGTCAGCAGCAACACCATCTCCATCTGCAACTGGTTCAGATTCATCGGCTTCCTCCTCTACTTCTCCATGACTATCGACGTTATAGCCATCGGCTGCATTATGTATATAACTTTTTTCAAGAACTTTACTTAGGGAGTCATTGTGATTTTCAAACCCGTGGACGAAGTTCGAAGAACAATATATTTCGGTCGAGGAATCACAGTTAGTGGCAATGTCTTTAACTACCTTCAACTGGGAATCACTCTTGTGGCTATAAAACTCTCCATTGGCAACACAACATTTGCAAAAAGGAAGGCAACCCTCGGACAGCCCCTCTAAGCCTTGCTTATAAGGATGATTTGTGATCTCGATCAAACGTTCGTCACTCGAGCGAGCTGTACGACAAAGAATCGACTTCTCGGGAGCTGACAAACTACTAAACTGCTCGTCTTTCTCAGTAGTCATTATAAACTTATCCTCACTTGGGCAGCCAAAGAAATTCACATCCTCTTTCTCATCATACCAAAGGAGATCATTCTGCAAATCGAATTCGTGGTAATCACGCGCGGTGTCGAACTGAGAGGCGATATCTGAAGAAGATTCTGATGAAACACCGTAAGGATTGATGAATTCTGCAACAGAACACAAAGATCCCAATTTCAATATCCAGTTTGAGTTTGTAAAATATAAGAACATGGGGTTTTCAAAAAAGAAAGAACATTATGGATCTAAGAACAGGGGAAATCAAAGTAAGGATACTGTTTCTACTTCAACCCAGTACGATTAAGACAAGTTGAAGAGACTATTCCAAATTTCATAAACAAGCAATGAATCTTATGAATTGGAACTTCAAATCTAACCCATTACCGGAAGAGCAAACGTCAGAAGTAGAAGACCTCAAGCTTACAAACTCATCATCAGAGGAAACAGAGTTCGATCCAAAACGATGGTCGCCGTCGGCGTCGCAGCCAGAAAGAGAGGCGAATTGCCGGGAAGTGGACGGGATTCTGACCGGAGGTGGAGAAGGGAGCATCGGAAAGAAGAATTTTTCAAAATCAAAAGAACCCAAATCGGATTTGTCGACGACATCCCTTTTGAGAGCCGACTCTGCCTCTGAAAACCCATTTTTCTTAAGAAATTCGAGCACTGCTTCCACGTCGGAAACCGCCATGGATGAAGAAGCTCAAAATTGGAGAGAAATTGGTTGATGGGGTGTTAGAGAAACGACTCGAAATGGTAATTGAGAAGATTTGGATTGGTAAAATTGGAATTTGTTTTGGGTCGACTCGGCGTTTGCATGCTTGAGAGAATTTTCTCTCTCTACCTCTCTTCTTCACTCTCTCTTTTTTTCTTTTCTTTTTCCTTTACAATGTTCTGTGAAACTGAAGCGATCCAAGGGCGACGCTGATTTACACAGTGCCAACTTAGCCTCGGTTTTGTACGGATTTTGATTGGTGGGTCCAATTCACAATGAGTCGTACGATTTTCCACGTCGGTAAACTTCACCCTTACACGTGTCATGATTGTTTCTCTATTCTTTTAGTTCCCGACAAGATTTAGTAGTCGTTGGGGACCGACTTTTTTCTCTCTCTCTTTTTTTTTTCTTCTTATTATTCCCCTCTAAAATATTTATTTATTTTCATAGAAGCTTCTTTATTCAACGTTTTTCAAAATTTTCTCACCTTTCCTGATTGGTATAAAAAATAAAATAAAAATACAAAAATATTTTAAGCCACTTTTGAGCTTTGTATCAATATGTAACACTCTAAATCTACTACTAGTAGACATTGTCCGCTTTAACACGTTACAAATAATCATATAATAAAATATTTAATAATTCCTTTTGGAGTTTAAGGTTGTAATGTCCTTTTCTCTATCTAAAAGCCATATGGATGAGCGAGTGGAGCAACACGTTCACTCTCACTAACAAAGATCCATATGCTCCTTTTACCTAATGACGATGAAATTACAACTCATTCAATGATTGGTCGGTTCATCCATTAATATTTAAATATAAAAAATAAGTTTTATAAAATTACTATTTTTAAAAAAAAAAATTGAAGCTTAAAAATAGATAATTAGATAGAAAATAGATTGGAATTGGGCAATATTTAATTTTATGTAGAATATGATAAAGTGAAAAAATAATAATTAATGGAGAAATAATTTTGCAGGTGCAACCGACTTTTGGGGGTGGGTGTGATGAAGCAATTACACCAACCCCTTTTCTTTCTATTTCTTTCTCCATGTGATTACGTGTTGAGGATTAATTATTTTATCTTTTTATAATTTTGTTATTTTAAAAACATTTATTAAATAAATCTTAAAGTATTATAGTATAGAATAAAAATATTAATTATTATAGTTGGATGTTGAATTTATTGAGAACTAAAAAAAAATAATAATTTAATAAAAAAATAACGTTAACTAATTATATGATAGAAACATAAGGTATTGAAGTCAATGCACGATAGTTTATTATTTTAGACTAAATAGTTTTGAATTATTAAATGAAAAATAATGCATGGTTGACGTTGATTTAAAAAATATATTTATTATTTATTTGTTTGGAAGTTTTATCTTCTAAAATATTTTAAAACCTTAGCTGGATTAAAAATTTAAATATATTTGGTAAGGAAAATGAAAATTATGGCAAGGTTGAGTAAATGACGAACAGAAGTAGAACATTTCACGTGGAGTTCCATCACCAACAACACCAACATGAACACCAATCTTCATTATCAGCTAACCTTGAGCATTGATTTGACTCTTCACCCCACGTGGGCCTCTTAATCATGCCATCTCTCTCACATTTTTTCATATATTATAACTATTATATTTATTTTCTTTCTAATATATTTATATTTTAAAAATAATTTTTAAATAATTATGGAAGGTAATTTAATATTGCAAGATATTATTAGAATTTATTTAGATTATGCTCTTTTATTTGTATTTTTTCAAAAGAAAAAAATAATGATTTTGGATAGACAGCCCAATATTGGGCTTGAGATTGGGCTGGGCTTTCGCCATTAAGTTTCTTTTCTTGTACGGCCCAATTCTTTTATGAGTCTCTCTGGCCCAAGATATATTCTATCCCCTTCAATTTCAACCTCGGTAAAACTTGGAGTGACTTTTTAATTCTCGGATGAAAATAAATATATATATATATATATATATTTTTTTTTAATGATAATAGAAATGTTCTAAATTTTGAGAAAAGTGTTGGATTTGTGCGTAGATTAATAATATTCATTTAAATTTACAAGACGTGACAATTTTTCCGCGAATTTGTTAGGAGGGAAACTATATTTCAATGATTATACAAAAAAACGAGATACGCGCCATAATAGATTATAATCACTCGTTTACTCATTCCATTAGCCATTGAACAGAAAAATTGTGCGAATTGATTTCTCAAATTGGTGGAGGAGCTGCGTGGGTTAGAGATTTTAGAGGACGAAATGGAGGCCGAAGGAGCAAGAAGGTTAGTGTGTTTTTGTGTATGTTTTTATGGTAATCTAATTGGAGGTTAGAGCTTTTGCTGCGTGAAGGATGTTAACTGATACAAATATTGGAAATCTCTGCAACATTGAATTGAATTTTGATGTGCGAATCTTAAGGAAAATATGTAGCCCTAAAATCGGAGGATTTTTCTATCAAAGTTATAATTCGATTCGTTTTTTTGTCCTTTTGTTTTTTGTCTCACTTTACCACTTCGAAAGTTGAAAAGTAAGTTGGAGTTATCTTGCTGCATCCGAGACTCAAAATGATGCCATGTTGTTGAATTTTGAAAACAGAAGAAGAAATGGGTGTTAAAAATGGGGTATGAAGTGAAAGTGAAAGTGAAAATGTGTCGCAATCAGGGAAGGTAATGGAGTAAGAACCAGGTTCCCCACTAAGCACATAGCATACACTCAGATTTACTATTTATGGTAAAACCCAAAGGCCTAGACAATGTAGTCCACTCAGACACCCACCAACCCCACCCCAATATCCCCTCTTGTTTCCCTTCATAATTTTATTTTCTTTCCTTCTCATACAATTTTCGTTCCATAGTTTCAACAGCTTCATGATTTCTTCTTTACGTGGAAAAGAAAAAAAGAAAAAAATAAATAAAACTTTTTCCATAGTCCAGGGATCGCTTCCTGTGCTTGGACAGAGCCATACGCATCTCCTGCTGATGAATAGGCATCCCCACACACATAATCACATAATTGAAATTCCTGTTTCTTTTTCTTGGGGGGATATTATTGAGTATTTTGCTAGACTTTTGTAGTGATTGAAAGCATTATAAAGCATATGGGACATGGGTGGGCCAAAAAGCAGACTACCAGCATATTTCTGTACTAATTTAGAAAAGAAGATACCAGTGGGAGGAGGTTCTTCCACTGTTCTGTGTAGAGATTAGGCTAAGCCTTAGTGCGGTTAATCAATTCTACCCTTAAATTATTTGTTTTGTGGAATATACTTTATTACTTCACTTTTTGTTTCTTCTGCCACTCTTTCTTTCTTTCTTTCATTCTTTCATTCTTTCTTTTCTTTTGGTAGGGGTGTCTATGTGGGTGAAATTATTTACGAGTATAGTTGCTAAAAGACAAATATATCTTATGCAGGTTTTAGTAGGAGTGATGGTTAAGGTTTTGTTTGATTGTTCAAATATATGCATATATTTGTTTTCAGAAACATGGCATAGAATGAATTGAGAAAAGTGTGTTTGATTCAAGCATTGAATTCTTTCAGAATCTATCTCAGAAAGTATGACGAGTTTAGAAAGCATAAAGATTTGGTTTTCTGTGTTCTTTGTTTATTTTTTATTTTTCGGATTCTTTTATTAAACGAAACTATCTCAAGTCAAAATGAGATATGAGTTGATGAATTCATATTTATACGCTTAAAAGTTAAACCAGCTGTGATTTGTGAAATATAACTATGGTTTCTTTTTCTTGCTTTCAATATTTTTATAAACTTGTTTCTGGATAATTTTGTACCTTAGACAAGGTTTAACTATCTCTCCAGCTTGATGGCACGACGGCTACTTAATCCATTGAACAAATTCATCCTGTCATAGGCTAAGTCTTTTTATTTAAATGCAATGGCCAAGCTTGTTGATGCCGTATTTCCTATGCTATATTTCCATGCCACTCATCATTCTCCATTTATTTTGGTTTTTGTATGCTTAAGTAATGTTGATAAAGGCGTAGTGGCTATCCCTCTTTTGGCATTCATATGCGCTGTGTTAGAAATTACTACAGGGTGTAACTAGCATTTAATTACCCTTCTTACCAGAAACTACCAAGCTTACTTTTCCCCAAATGCTTTAAATATTTTGTGTTGATGGGTAGATTGTAGCTTGGTCATTATTGCCTAGTGGGCTATTCTGTTCAAAAGTTCATAAAACTTGTAGTCGTTGGTGTCATGTCATAAATAGAACATCCATTTATAGCAACGATGGATATCTCAACTATGAAAACCTTTTCCTAACGCATTATGAATCAAAACAATTACTACAGAACCAAAGAAATTCTGCAAGTGTCAAAAAATATAAAGAGAAATGAAAGAGTGAAGTCATATCCACCACCCATTATGCGACAAGAACGTTAAATCGTGGTGCTGGGATTGCATAATTTCAGATGATACGGATTTGAATATATTTGTGGCCACTTTGACCAAAACTCATAATTAGCTAAAAATTATGACAAAACCTATTGCATAATCTTGGATAAATTAATTTATGGACCAAGTTCATCTAATAAAGTAGGGAACAGTACGAGCATCAACTCGTTTTGTTTAATTTGTATTGGTGTATACTCACCACTTAGAATAATATTTTGTTTTTATTTATTCTTTTTTGTTCTGTAGCATTACTCCTAGGAACTTCCCTTTTACAAGGCATATATCCTGGGTCTCTTAATGGACAGACCTTTGTTCCTCTTCATTGTCACACTTAATTTCATAAATCCTGAGCGTGCACTTCAATATGAAAGGCATTTCACCATTACCTTTTTCTCATCATATCATATTTCTCTCTTTTTGGTTCATTTAAGCATTGGCACCTTTTCTGCACGAGAACTGTTTTTTTATGAATCTTTTCCCACTGAAAGGCTAAAACTGCTTGTTCGTTTGACACATTTGAACTTCTATTTCTCCTAAAATTAACCTTAGTGAGTGGAAAAGCATATAGACATGTGTGATCAGCACTAACCTTACTGTTCAACGATTGCCAATGGGCTGAGAGGAACTATAGTTCTGTAATTTCGAGTTTCATTTATGGAAAGTAAGGATCATGGAAAAATGAATGTTGTGATAAGCACGAATAATTGCCCACCCCATCTGTTAATGGTCCATTTACTACAAGATATGCACCTTGTATTACTTTCTAGTTCTGTTCTTATTTTTTCAATTGACCAATTAGACGTTTAGTAGTTGGCAGCCTGATTCAACAACATACCTAATTGGAGATTGCCCACTTGGAACTTTAATGAGAAAGCAGATACGTATGAGAGCGAGGAATATAATATTTGTGCATTAATGGACGAAAGTCAAATCCCGTCACTCTTAATTTGAAAAAGCTTTTTCAGCAATGATGTTAAGTAGTTCAACTGCAAGAGTGAGAGGAAGGTTGAATATTTTCCCAAAATGTTTTGAGGTTTTATTATCTTCTCCTTCTTAATTTGTTTTTTCAGTGGAAACTAATTGAAAAGCAATTTCTTCAGTGTTTCTGGTCTCCTAAAGAAGCAACTGATCCCTCTCTTAATTGTAGGACTTTATTTCCCTCAATTTATTGTCTAGCTCTTACAGTTTCTTGTTAAAGATGTCATTTGTTCAAAGACGCATAAAGAACTGTTACTTGAGATAGGAAGGATTGAGTTCAAGAATTTCTGATGTGCTTTTGTTAAAGATCTAATTGATAGAACTTCGGAAATATGCGCTTAACTACATATGAAAGAATGTAACCCAATTTGCTTGAATATATATGTATGTATGTTTTTATCTATAGAAGAGAAAGCATTTAGAAGAATAACATAAACAGCTAAGATGTGTAAAAGCTAACAGCTCCATATATAGGTAATGAAGTTGAGGTTCGATATTAGACAGTTCATCCAAATGTGTTTGTTGGACTTTCCCCATTTAAGTTTCTGTCTTCTATAATATATTTATGTATTTATTTTCACAGCCTCACTTGATCTCCTTTAACATGGAATTATTGAATATTGTCATGAATGACAGCTACTGCTGGAGATATGCATAGACCCCCCCTCCCCCACCACTTTTCAGCCTCAAACTTCTTTTAAGCATTTCATTCAGTCCTTTCTCCTCCGCCACTGTTGTCTATAGATGTGCAAAGAATATGGTTTTCATATGGGGGAGTTCATAGCTTTCTTATGAGGTATAGCTCAAGAGAATTAAATCCACCTGATCAACCTTTTCATTTCTTTTCTTGTGAATGGACAGTGAGAAATGACCAAACTTTCTAATGAATTAACATATTGTCAGCAACAAGAATCCAGAGCAGATTGTGTAGGTATTTGTGTTGTGAGACTTTACAAAGCTATATATATTTGTCTCTTTCTATTTATCTTACTTATATGCCTAAAATTATGGTACTGAAGATCTCGTCTGGATTTCTTTTTCATCCTCTTAGTGGGTGCGGTAGATCTGGTTCTGTTGCTCGTGTATGAACGCCGTTCATAGGTGCTACTTTTATAAATCAAATAATTCACAAATTTATTTCAAAGAATTGTTCCTTTGATGAAGTGTGCGAAATAAAATGAAACTCACTCCCTTGTTGGGTTAAGCAAGAAAAATGTTTGTCGCTCAATTATTTTCACCTGATAATTATGCACATAGATACAAGGTAGAAGCAAAACAGGAAAGAGAGGGGAAAAAGAAAAAGAAACCAACGTGTAGCTAAAAGGCAAATGCTTTTTTGCAGAAAATAATGCGAAGTCTTGTGGATCCTCTACTCCTAGAATCTCTCCTTTTTCCCATCTTTGTCGCAGGCTGATTAGTTCCACACACACTTTCTTCTCTCCAATTGCTTTAGTGGGAGCAGAGAACCTATGAATTTATATTTCGTTAGCTTCTATTGAGAATAAATGAACACTGCTTCAAAAGTGGAAAAATACTTTATACCCTTTGTTATTGCAGAAATTATATGCTCAGGATTTCCCCCCCTCTTTATGATATGAGTTTCTGTAGACTGAGAGTTAGGTGATGAGTTGTTGGCAGAGATAATTGTTTTGATTGGGCCTACCTCTTTAACAACTCAAACATCAGTAGGCAAAGGATGCATGTGGACTGCTTGAGATTGGCTTCTGCTTTGTATTGCAAGTGTGAACTACAATCAATTGTTTGTTTAAGATACATATATTTGATCAGATATTATCAATTAATGGGATAAGGATCCGTCCATTTTGCTTAGTTTTTTGCTTAAAGGGAGCTTGATTTGTATGTCTGCTGTCTTGTTTTGAGAATTTATGTCTAGTGGTCTATTTGTGTGTGGTGTGTATATATATTACAAAAGCTTGGAAACATATTTTGACAGTGAAAACCCGTTGAAATAGCCTGAAAGCTATCCTCGATAGTCGGGAACTGTTGAAGTCTAACAATTCTTGATAGGTAAACCTTTTGAGGTTTTAAATTGTGATATCATCTTGGGGAGGAAGGAATAGGTTGTGATAGGTTTAACATTTAGAAGCACAGGTCATGGAAAAGACTGTTTGTGATGATGAAAAAAGTAGATGTATATAATGTATTGTAGAATTTGAGTGGTTGAGTCAAATCTGTATAATGTATTAAATGATGAAGGTGGGTAGAGCAAAGATAGAGATGGAAGTGTTGGGAGTTCGGCTGAAAAAGTTCATATCTAAGAAGAGGTTGCTTGGTGTATTGAGAGGAAAAAAGGAACTGAAAAGGTTTTGTGAAAAAAAAAAAAAAGGAAGAAGTCATAAAAGCATAGGAAAGCAGGTAGGAACAAAAAACACATCAAATCAAACACCTTTATAAGCTTTAACTCCTCCCATTCCTATCGCTATCATCTGCGTGTTGCTCTCTGATTTTCTCTAATTCTTGGGTCGATGAAGGAGAAGGACGAAGTGAGAAAAGAAGGAAAGAAAAGGGAAAATTCCTTCGCTACTTTATCTGAAAGTAACCAAAGATTTTTTCATTTAATTTTTTCAAATAATAAAGAAGTTAGAACTTAAAACGTTTTGAGTTGGTCTGGTCGTAAGAAGAAAAGGAAGGGAAGGGGGGCTCCATATTCCAAAAGTGGAGGTTTCATTATACCTGTGTTGTTTGCATATGAATGGAATGTGTATGGTGGTGGTTGGAGTTGGGAGTCATAGTTTCTCTTTTGGGTCACTTTCAACCTTTTGGGATGTATAATTGCATGGAGGTTGGGAGTGAAAAGGAAGGAATATGGAGGAGGAAAGGAATACCGAGTTGCCTGCAAGTTGTTGGTGACTCAACTCATTGAACATAGTAATAGTAATAGTAATAGTAAAACATCACAAAAGTGAACAAAAGATTATATGAGAGCGTAAGCAATCACTGAGTGTGACTCACCAATGGTGTGTCCTGTTGGCCCCCAGTCCCACCCCCAAGTTGGTGGATTGGATTCAATACATCTCACCATCTTTCCTTTCAACACTATTCTATTTCCTTGATTGAGAATCACCCCACCACCATCTCTCTCCTCCCTCTTCCTATTTTCCCCTCACCACCACCCACCTCTATTCAACCCACCTGCTACTAGACATTGTTCGTTTTGACTCGTTACATATCGTCGTCAGTCTCACAGTTTTAAAACGTTTCTACTAAGGAGAGATTTCCACTCTTATAAGAAATGATTCGTTCTCCTAACTAATGTGAAATCTAACACGTCTAATAACCATTTAAAGCTATGTTAAATCAAAATTCATGTCTTATGCTGATTCGTGTTTAGGAAAAAAAAAATAAAGTGTAAGACAAGGAAAGATGTTGCCACAAGATATTTAGAATCTAATCTATACCACATCTTCAATTACTCTTGATGTTCTTGTAGTAAAATGCCTTCTCAATAGGACGGCCCACACTTATTGCTGGACCCACTTTTCACCACCATTGTCATACCTCTTGCCACGTCACCCTTCCTTTCTTTCTCCGTTTATTATTATTATTTTTTATATATATATTTCATTTATATTTCGAAGTCTCTTATTCTTAGAATTTCGTATCATTTTCTTTTCCTTTTTCCCATATTTTGTGAATTATAAAAGAGACTCGGTGCGAGAGATCGAGAGAGAGGTTTGTTTTTTTTTTCTTTTTATAATTTTTTTTTTTTTTTTTTGTAGATTATTTGTAAAATAAATAAATAAATAAATAAAAATTGATATTCTAAATTTGAAGTGGTTTTCGTATGCTCGGCGGGGATGCCTACGGCGGTTAGTTTAGCTCGGCAATGCTTAGCACCAGATGCAGCACACGCGCTGGACGAGGCGGTGGCGGTGGCGCGCCGCCGTGGACACGTTCAGACGACGTCGCTTCATGCTATATCCGCTCTTCTCGCTCTCCCTTCCTCCGCCCTTCGCGACGCCTGTGCACGCGCCCGTAAAACTACTGCCTATTCTCCTCGTCTTCAATTCAAGGCACTCGAGCTCTGTCTCAGCGTCTCTCTCGACCGAGTCCCCTCCACTCAACTTTCCGATGACCCTCCAGTCTCCAACTCCCTCATGGCCGCCATTAAGCGCTCTCAGGCCAACCAGCGCCGCCAGCCGGAGAATTTCCATTTGTACCACCAGCTCTCTCACCAGTCCTCCATTGCTTGCGTCAAAGTGGAGCTCCAGCATTTTCTTCTCTCCATTCTTGACGATCCTGTCGTCAGTAGGGTTTTCGGCGAGGCCGGATTTCGGAGCTCTGAAATCAAGTTTGCTATTATTCGCCCTTTTCCTCAGCTTCTTCGCTACAACTCTCGCGCCAGAGTGCCCCCTTTGTTCCTATGTAATTTGATGGACTGTCCTGATCCCAATCGTCGGGGTTTCTTGCTTCCCCTCTCCGGATTTCGTGATGGGGACGATAACGAAAATAATCGCAGGATCGGGGAGGTTTTAGGGAAAAACAGGGGAAGGAATCCGCTGCTCGTTGGAGCATCTGCTAACGTTGCGCTCAAGGGTTTCACGGAGGCCGTTGAGAAACGTAACGACAACTTCTTGCCGGAGGAATTGGCCGGTGTGAGAAACATTTGCCTCGAGAACGATATCTCTAGCTTTTTGTCTGAGAATTCCGAAATGGGGTCTTTGAACATGAGATTCGTGGAAGTTGTCCAGATGGTGGAGCAGTCGCCGGAGCCTGGATTGATAGTGAATTTCGGAGACTTAAAGGCATTTGTCGGCGATAATACTTCCGATGATCGAGCAAGCCGTGTTGTTGGCCAATTGAAAACTCTGGTCGACGTCCATGGCGGTAAAGTTTGGCTGATCGGCGCAGCTTCCAGCTATGAAACTTACTTAAGATTCGCGACTAAATTTCCTTCGATTGGGAAGGACTGGGATTTGCATCTGTTGCCGATCACTTCTCTTAGACCCGAATCATATCCCAGGTCCAGGTTAGTCTCCAAATCTTTCTTGGAATTTACTTTAAAATGTTCATAAAGGCTTAGTTCATGAATTTTAAGGATTGGGTTTATTTTATTGTTTCTGAAAAGTGAGTACTGGTGGTAGTTCAAATATGATAACACCTGGAGGAGGAGGTTAGTTGTCTCATTTTGGATCACTGTCTTTTCCTCTTTTGAGATCTAATCTGCGTTGCACATAGAAATTCTCGACTTTTCATAGCGAAATTTGATTATTTACTAATTAATATGTTTTGTTATGTACTTAAATTGACTCAAAACAAGATCGCTGATGACATCTAAAGTTAAATTGTCTCATAATCTCTCAGGAGGCTTCTTTTTTAAAAAAATAAAAAATAAAATATCATAGAAATGTTGATAATAAGAGTTTGAATAAAATATCCTATTATCGGTACAGTTTGATGGGATCATTTGTACCACTTGGTGGATTCTTTTCCACGCCTTCTGATGCAAGTATCCCTTTGAGTGTTTCCTGCCAACATCCTTCCCGATGTCTTCAATGTGATAAAAACTGTGAAGATGAAGTAATTGCTGCTTCAAAGGGTGTTTTTACTCCCCCTGTTTCCGAGCAGTATCAATCTAGCCTGCCTTCTTGGATGCAAATGACTGAGCTTGGCAACTTTGATGCATTCGATGCCAAGGTGAGTGTTTGCTTTCAAATTCAATTCCATATAAGTCTATGGCTGTGCTTTTCATGTTCTACGATATGTTTGTTTCAGATAGAAGCTATTCACTTATCTATATATTTGGTAATTAAGGATTTTGATAACAATCTTACGGTTGTGAGGACTCATATGTAGTTTACTTTAGAGAATCCTCTACATTTCTTGTGTAAAAGCTAGTTCATACGTCTTCAGTGCAGACCAGAGATGATGGACTGGTACTGAGTGCCAAAATTGCAGGGGTCCAAAATAAATGGGACAATATATGCCAGCGTCTTCATCACGGTCAGCCATTAAAAGAAGCACCCATGTTTCCGACTGTTGTGGGCTTCCAAGTCACTGACAATGGAAGGGAAGATGCTGCTGTCAACAACTGCAGTAGCAGTGCTTGTGTTTCATCACACAATGACTCATCCGCAGATTTGAACCCCAGAAATTTCATGGATTTGCCAAAGATTTCTCTCTCGAGATCGAACACCTTTCCTTTTTCTGCCAAGGGGAGTGACAAGAATTTGCTATCCAAACTGCAGGAAGAAACATCTAAAACTGAAGATCTTGAGTTAGGGGGTCGCAACTCTCCTTTCAGCCTGTCCATTTCCAGTGTTGACGATGAAAATCGAACATCATCCCCATCTGCGGGTTCTGTCACCACAGATTTAGGGTTGGGGATAGTTTCTTTACCTACCAGTTATAAGCTGAAGAAAGCATTAAAACCTAATGGCGCAGATTTTCCATCTGACTTGTCTGGTTGCTGCTCAACAAATGTTGATTTAGTTAATGGTACAGTCCGTAATGCTTTAACTCCATCTTCATCCTTTTCCAGCCCGGAACGTAGAGGACAGATGAATGCGATGGATGTCAAGACACTATTTCGATTGCTCAAGGAAAGAGTTTTCTGGCAAGATCAGGCTGTGAGCATCATAAGTCAAACAATATCCCAATGCCAAACAAGAAGCGATAAACGCCATGGATCTAATTCGAGGGGGGACATATGGTTCAACTTTGTTGGTTCTGATAAGTTTGGGAAAAGAAGAGTTGCTCTTGGTCTTGCTGAGATATTGTATGGCAATAAGGATCAGTTCGTCTGTGTCGATTTGAGTTCCCAAGATGGGGTGATCAATCCTGATATGCTTCATCTTGGACATTCGCAACTGAGAAGTTACCATGCAGAATTCAGAGGGAAAACCGTTCTGGATTTCGTTGCTGCTGAGTTGGGAAAGCAACCCTTATCCATTGTTATGCTTGAAAATGTCGACAAGGCTGAATTTCTTGATCAAAATAGATTGTCACAAGCTATTCGAACTGGTAAACTCTCGGATCTGCAAGGAAGAGAAGTTAGCATTACAAATGCAATATTCATGATGACGTCAACGTCACGAATAACTTCCCTCGACAAGCAAGTATCGTCCAAGTATTCTGAAGAAACACTCTTGAAGGCTAAAAGTTGGCCGTTGCGCATAGAAGTTGCTTCTAGCTTTAGAGACCAAGCAAACCGAAGCAAAACAGTCTCTGATACAGAGAGAAATAGTATCCTTAGCCCCTTCTTTATGAGCAAAAGGAAGTTCAATGTCATTGATGAATCTTCAGATCAACATGAAATATCTGAAACGGCGAAACGGAGTAACAATACGTCAACGTCCATCAAATACCTGGATTTGAATTGCCCTGTGGAAGAGAATGCCGAGCACGATATTGATGGCGAGTGCAATAATGACTCCACTTCTGAGAACTCCAAAACATGGTTACAAGAATTTTGTACCTACATCGATCAAGTAGTAGTTTTCAAGCCATTTGATTTTGATGCTCTAGCTGAGAAAATTGTAAAGGACATTGAGAAGATCTTCCACAGTGTGTTTGGGCCAGAATGCATACTTGAGATTGACCCAAAGGTGATGAAACAATTGCTTGCAGCTGCTTATATTTCATTTGGGGACAGAGAAGTAGATGATTGGATGGAGCAAGTCCTAAGCAGGAAATTCTTAGAACTCAAAAGAATACACATCCTTTCTACTCATTCCATTGTCAAACTCTCTACATGTGATCAGGAGCTTTCGTCGGAGGAGAAAACAGCAGAAGTCTGTCTTCCCCGGAGAATCGTTTTAGATCAAAAGTCATGTTCTAGCTAAGATGTAAAATATAGTGTCGTGTAATCTTGTAAAACCTTCCTTAGCCTGTGAATCCCATAATTTTGCTGGTTTTCTTTTTCCAGGTTATGATCTCTGTATGATATGATATGATATTTAAAGTTCAGCAAGTTATAAGCCATTCCTCAGCTTCATCTTTGGACTTCATAGAATTCATCACAGATTTGTTGGATTTGCAACAAATCTGTGAATGGACTTATGCATTCCAAAAGTGGCGTCGCAGTCACAGAGAGCATCAATGATCGAAGGCGAAGGGACCGAGTTCGTTAGAGTCCATTAACTCTAGGCTCAATTTGAGTAGGGGCACCCTGTTTTGCTTCCCAAAACTAGAGCAACTCGTTTCTAAGATGGTAATATGGGGTCTGCATCTCATTTGATAAAAGGAGACACGAGAAGGACCAAACAACCCCAACCATTTCATCTAATACATTGATGGGTAAGCATAGACAAGAGCAGTCATAAATGAGATAAGAGAGAGAGAATAAAGAATTTATTTTTTATTTTAAAAAACTAATTAACATGGATCATCATCTCAGCTATTTTAGCTATAATTAAAAGTCAATATTCCGTATTGAGTGCTAAATTCATGCCACTTTTTTTAATTGATGTGGTGACGTAATTTGTATTACAAAATTATAGAAATATAATTGAAAATAAAATGAAAACATTAAAATACAATATGGGAAACAAGTAATGAGAAAACGAAATACCACCAAATCAATTGTTAACAATAATGACAGACATTTCTCGCCCAAACTACAATAAAAAATTACCAAATTTTATTGATTCCAACAAACAAACAAACAAAAAAAAAAAGTGTTCTTAAATTTGACCCAATTTTATTTTAGTTATTTAATTTTATATTTGATTACTTTGAATTTAAATTTTCGTTTTACGTGTTAAAGTTGTATAAAGCTAAAAGTTAAAGAATATGACTAAAAATATGAGAAAATATTTTTTTGCAATAGTTCAATCGGATTGTTAGTCAATATTGTTTTTTTTGGCTTTCTTTGGATGTTTGCTTTGGAGATCTCACATGGAGCCCAATTCCTTACATGCCCTAGGGTTGAGTCTAATACTATTTGTGACAACTCAAGCTTCTAATGTCTTTGCTCTCACACTACTTGACATTTAAGCTCTGATACTATTTACAATAGTCCACGTCTCTTAACATGCCTCTTAGTATTTGATTAAGATACCATTTACAATAGCCTAATCCGTATGTGTGAAGCTTTCCCAATGAGTTTCTAAAGCCAAAATCCAGCAAAAAAGAAAAAAAAAAGGGGAAGAATAAGTATCTTTTTGGGTTTGATGGAGAGTGGAATTGGTGATCATAGTTCCCCATTCCAAAGCTGCCGTAGCTTGGAAACAGGTGATGCTTTCCTTAGCATCTACTTCTCTGAGAAATAAGTTTCCAATAATTTGGGAATGAAAATTTATACAAAAATAGATAATTATGATGTACGAGTCTTAATTATGCATCAAAGGCTGTTGTTGAGGTCAAAAACAAAAACATCAGCCTATTACCCAATAAAGAAGCTTCTTTTCTGTCTTTCAATTGGGTTTCGACATCGACCCATTATTCTTCACATTCATCTTCATTAAACTAACCATCTATTTAATATTATAGATCATACCCATTTGGAGACCCACCCATCGGGAGCCTCCATCTTGAAGGGCTCCACTCCACCCGACCAGAGATGGGGTGGAGAATGAGCGTCCGATGAAACCAGCTCAATTCCAGAGTCCTTCCATGTTCTTGACTTTTTACAGAGAAGATGATCTAAAGCAGTTAGCCCAGATGAACATACTGACAAAGACGTCTCCTCTGCCTACCAGAACCGGAAAAGAGGCGTTTCTTCTTTCTTCACGAACAAACCCATCTCACCCAACCTCAATTTCACTAACAAAAACCTAATTCTCAACGTAAAGTTTCTCCCTTTCTCTCTCTAAACCCTGTTTCATGTCGTCGTTATATTTCTAATCCCTTCTCTTCACTCTCTCTCCTAATTTTCTTCTTCTCGTATGCAGCCATCTCGCCGCAAGCTCTCTCTCTCCTCTTCACAATTGGCGGCAATGAAGCCTCGAAAGAACAGTAATCTCTCCATATTTGCAGTCGTTTTCTCCGTTTTCCTATTTGGGTTTTTCATGTACAATGAAGACGTCAAGTCAATTGCTGAGTTTTCATTCTCCCGCCCCAAAACAGAGGAGCTCAAAGAACAGAGCAAGAAACAGAGCTCCCCTGTTCTTAACCCCCTCCAAACTGACGCTTCCGTGGATTCAAGAACACAGATGAACTCGGAAGAATCAGAAACAGATGAATCCGTTAATCACAAAACGATCGCTACTACCAAGGAGGACGAAGAACAGAGCAATCAGAACGTGGAACAAGAAGAAAATGATGACGACGATGTTGAATTGCCCCCTGAAGAATGCGATCTGTATAATGGGAAATGGGTTTTCGATAACACTTCATATCCTTTGTATAAAGAAGATGAATGTGAGTTTCTAACATCGCAAGTAACTTGCTTGAGAAACGGAAGAAAAGACTCTGTTTTTCAGAATTGGAGGTGGCAACCAAGAGATTGTTCCTTGCCCGAGTAAGCTAAATCTCCAGTTTTTTCCTAAGATTTTACCTATAAACACTTGGATTCAATCACTAAATTTATGGGTTTTTGCTTTAAGATTCAAAGCTAAATTGCTTCTGGAGAAACTGAGGGGAAAGAGGCTGATGTTCGTGGGAGATTCATTGAACAGAAACCAGTGGGAATCCATGGTTTGTTTGGTTCAATCGGCGGTTCCTCCGGCCAGAAAAAGCTTGGAAAAGATTGGTTCACTCGCCATCTTTAAAATCCACGTATAAATTCTTTCCCTACAAATTACTTTTGTCCATTACTTCAATTTGAAGCTTCATTTTTTTGTAATGGGTAAAGTTTTCCGGTCGGCCCGTAATCGTCGGTGGCCGGTTCAATTACTTTTGTAAAAATTAACGGGGGGGAATGATCGTATGCGTGCAGGACTATAATACTACAGTGGAATTCTACTGGGCCCCATTCTTAGTAGAGTCAAATTCTGATGATCCAAGGATGCATAGCATTTTGAACCGGATCATCATGCCTGAGTCCATCAATAAGCATGGAGAGAACTGGAAAGACGTGGACTATCTCGTCTTCAATACCTACATTTGGTGGATGAATACTTTCACCATGAAAGTTCTGTAAGTACTTTTTTTTTTAATGTAAAAATTAAAAATTAATGAAGAAATCATAATTATTTGTAATGTGATGTAAATAGGCGAGGATCGTTTGATGAAGGATCAACGGAGTACGATGAACTCGAACGACCCGTTGTTTATGGAAGAGTGTTGAACACGTGGATGAAATGGGTTGAAGAAAATGTGAACCCAAACCGAACCATGGTCTTTTTCAGCAGCATGTCTCCTCTTCATATCAAGTAATTTTTCTGTCTTTAATTCTTTTTATTTTATTGATGATCGATTGTTTTCATTTTCTGGTGGAGCCCATGTAAATATCACGTAAATCATGCCACAAATTTCCTTTAAAGAGACAAACTTTAAGTTAAAAAAAATAAAAGCGGATATAGCTCCGCCGAATAATCAATTTCGTAGGGTCTGTTTTGGATGTCGTATCTAAATTTTATTTCTTACAATAGGAGCTTGGATTGGAACAATCCAGAGGGGATAAAATGCGCAAAAGAGACAATGCCAGTACTGAACATGGCGACGCCGCTGGAAGTGGGGACGGACCGTCGGCTGTTCTACATCGCGATGAACGTAACGCAGACAATAAAAGTGCCGGTCCATTTCCTCAATATCACCGCCCTCTCTGAGTACCGCAAAGACGCACATACCTCCGTTTATACCATTCGTCAGGGCAAAATGCTGACTGCGGAGCAGCAGGCCGACCCCGCCACCTACGCCGATTGCATCCATTGGTGCCTGCCTGGCTTGCCCGACACGTGGAATGAGTTCATTTACACACGCATCATTTCCGGCTCCTAACAACTCCACCATACCATTATACACCCTCAACCTTTTTTGGTTCTTAGTCTTTGTTCTAAAAGATTTTGTATAAATTTCTTCTTTATTCTTATGAAACTTTTTTGGTTATCGAATCGGGTTACGACTGAATATCCCACTTCTTTATGCCGCTCCTTGCTTGCTCTACGGCATACTAAAAAAAATAAGAAAATCAATCATTATTCAAGTCTATCCTCTTTAGTAAGGACTTTTGGAACATACAAATGATTCAGAATATGGATAATATATTGCGCCTGTGATGACATAGTTGAATGTTTGGGAGTCAAAGCCTCTTAAGATTAGGAGATCTACTCAGTCATCCATAAAAGCATGGTTATATTGCGTGTAGAATGATTATTAGTCGGTTAGTTGACCAAACAGTTGATTATGATAGATTTTAGAATTCTAAGAGTAAAATTATCGTAAGATTCCCATTTGTCCTTCACCTAGGTTGTTGGTATTGAAAAAATACAATAATTTACAGAATTTATGCAATATATAGAGACAAATTAACGATTAAATTTGTAAATTTTGATTTAAATTCAGTTGAAAAGAAGAAAAAAAGGCTATTTAAGTGACAGGCCCAAATGAGAAGATGGGCTGGGCCATATGTTTAAGTTCGGCCCATCTCTTTGCCCCTTAAAAAAAAATCTCCATTTCGAGTGCCAGATGCATCACTCCCCTTTTGCCACCCGCGGACTAGGACCACATAATGAGTAGTTGAGTGAGAGTATGACACATCAGCCCATCGCGTACATTTTTTCCACTTAAATTTATTACCTTTGTTTTAATCTAAGAAAACCAATAAAACACACAACTTTATTTTAAAAATTTTAAACAAATAAAAATAAAACCAGAGTTGAGTTATAATTATCATAAGTTATAACTTCCTTAATTTAACAATTATGTGGATAATTACTGATTAAATACTGTTTTTACCTCATTTTTATATCATTTAACTACCATTAGTAATCTAGTAAGCTATGTAATTTTGTTTAAATATACGTTTATTAACTTTGCGATTACTATTTCCATAATTGAATTAAACATAAGCAAGTAAAAATGTGGTAATAAATTAACAA